GTTTGACGTTGATATAATTGATCACCAAAACATATTTAGAAATGTCACTTTTCTGCACATTCAGTAAAACTAAATTTCCCAGCTGTGATGAATCATTATGATTGTGGAGGAGCCGATTTTGGACATCTCTGTAGATTTCAAACTTGTTTTCAGCTACAGTGTATTTGGCGAAGCTGGGATCCCCTGATACATCCTGTTTGTACCAAATATAGCTATCCACAGTATGGTTCTTCTCAGGTAGATAAAAGGACAAAGTAACATTGCCACTTATGCAGCCTTCAATAGTTTTTTGGATATCTTGACCAATTACTGCAAAGAAAATACAGACTTTACGGAATATTGAATATATAAGGTGTGAACATTGAATAGATAATTAAAGAAATCTTACAATGCATCTTCCGTAAAAAAGTAAATTAAGAAAAATTAATTCATTTTCCACATTCTGAAATATGTATTTTTCAATTGTTTTAAGTTATATCATTCAAGTAATTATAAAAATTACAAAGAAAAAAGAGTGTATGGATATTTTCATTTGGTTCTAACTCAGCACAGATATACTGAATTTAGTGATGATATATAATATACACATATTTACTGGCTATGAGGACAATAGCAAGTTTATCGTCACCCAAGACAGCAAACTATTTCCCGAGGAGCAGCTGTTGAGGGGGACGATAAACGTGCTATTGTCCTCATAGCCAGTAAATAGGTGTTTAATTATACCGATGCTGACTTTACTTATAATCCGTATAAAATCATAAGTTTTCCGAGATGAAAAGCGAGGGAAACAGAATGCTGCCGGTGAATAGCTTGATGACTATATCAACATGGGCAGATAGCACAAAAACTATTTCAGGGTTGGGGCTGTTTGGAAAAGATAGCATGTTTATTCGTCATATTTTTATATAGAATAAATTCACAGAGGTATAATAAATGACACTATAAATGGATTCAAGCATACAAACCTTGATAAGCAAACGCACATACAACAAGAAGACCTGCTTGATTGTTTAGTGGACTCATAATAAGTGAAGAAAAATCAGACACAAACTCAAAGCTTTAATCGTGCAAAACATATGATAAACACATTAACCAGGAAATAACAGTAAAACGTATGCTACAAAAAGGAAGGAAACGGATGGTTATGTGAGTAACGTTCCAACTTTCCTGAATAGATAGACCTATGAGGTAAACTAAATCAATTTTGAGAAAAAGTATTATAATCGTGTCTAGCTAATTGAACTTTTTAATTGGACTAGATATACTTAAAGGATCTGCAGGTAACGGCATTTTTAGTCATTAAGCATTTTTAGAATTTCAAAAATTAGAAATCTGTATTGCAGAAGTTAAAAAAATCATGTTACTGCAATTGAACATCTTCATTGCTATTGAATATCTGCATTGTTATTGACTAAATTATGTAAGGTGTTTGTTTGGTTTCTTGATTAGTTTGTTTTACATCTCTTCGATATTGTTTCACTCATCCGGAGAGGCCCCTTAATTAATCCCCCAGACACTTAGCATCGTTTTTGAAAGTGGGGGGGGGGGCAACCAGAGAATTTTTTTCGTGCGGGGGGGGGGGGGAGATGGAGGGGGGGTAGTGGCCAACCTTTTTCAAGGCGAAGTTCCTCCTTTAAGTTCCAATTTCTTTTGCATGCTAAATTACCTTGATATCACCAAACTATGGTAAAAAGTGGGGCCAGGCCTCCCCCTGGCCACCCTGTTGCTACGCCCCTAGCTGTCCCTAAAATATCCTAAAATGAAACTTATAAATGTGTCGAACTGAACATGTGGTATCTTATTTCAAGCTCACCGATTAACAATTAACACAGATGGCAAACTTCACTATAATCTAGCCATTTTTTGTGGTGTCACCAACTGCAAATACATCTACTTTTCACATAGTTCATGACATAACTTACTTAAGATGCACGGTGTGTTTGTGAAACACTATGCGCCCGGCATAGTCATTTGAAAGAGCTTTATTGGTGGAGTATGCATATCTAATATGAAGTCTCTATCTCTCATGGTTCAAAAGTTATGGCGAAGGTTAAAGTTGACAACAGACAGACAGACAAACAGACCGGACAAAAACAGTATACGCTCGGATCTATCGATCCGGGCGCATAAAAAGCTTATGGTTCAGAATAAAAATATCAAAGGATAAGTTTCCGGTGGGACATGTACAGTACCTACAAGTGAATGTTATGAGGGCTAGAAGTCTTCAATTGCTTGCATTCTCTGCTAATCCCTTTATATACACGTTATCTGAACTTAGTTGTTGGTTGTTTCTTACGTGAATCACCTCACTTTAACCTACATGTGTTTTTGAAGTACTGAGTTATATCAGCCATATCAATAGGACATTTATACATTTTAAAGAATTATTAGCTCCTACCGGTATTGAAGTCACGGCTAACTTTTGCTATTAATATTGGATTTTTTCTTAGATCTTTGCTTTGGAAAACCCGAGGAAGTAGAGGGATGCACAGTAACATGTTTTATATAGAAGAGAAAGGAGACCTATCAATTATATTGTATCATATTTTACAATGGACTTATTAAGGAGTGGAGGTTATCTTAAAATCATCTAATGTCGGTCAAATGATTATTTATTCTATTTCTCTTAATAGTAAGAAGAATGTGTAAAAATGGCCAAATGCTGCTGAATATATTATATTAAAGATTATAACATTATGCATCCATGCAGTGACATTGAATTTAAAAAAAGCTTTTAGATCTTATTTTCTAGCATTACTTGTGATTGTATAATTAATATATCAAGTCTCCTTTCTAGCTCACCTCAACGAAGATGGGGGAGCTAATGTGATACCCTTGGCGTCGGTATCGGCATCCCAGTTTAACCTGAAGATTTTTGGAGCAGTTTTCTTTTTAAGTACTTCTATGTCCTATATTGATTGGACATGCATGGAAGATACTTCTGGTGTGTTTCATTGTACCGGCCAAGGTTTCAGATGCGCATGCTGCAATTTCAACAAAGGAATGACCAGGCTAATGTTTTTGGAGCATTTTAACATTTTTGGTGCAGTTTTTTGGTGTAGTATCATTTCCAAATAACTTTAAGCCCTATGCATGGATGATACATCTATAAAGATGCACACTTGCTTCGGATGCTGAATCTGACCTACATTCTCCATATGAGTGAACAGGTAAATGTGTTTGTTGCAGATCTCATTTCCAAGTTACTTTGAGCCCTATAATGACCAAAACTGCATGGATGACACATCTAAGGACGCCTCCACTTATCCCTTATTTGGTCATATTGAAATTATTATTCAAAGTTATTAGTGACGTAAGAAAATGACAGACAATTTAAATAATAAAAAGCATTTATTTTTCAATGTCATACACAATCAAAGTGCAAGGCTTAATGCACAAAAATATTCTAAATATTTATCTAGCAACGAAGCAAATAAACAAGCAAATAAACAAAAATTTATGCCAAAAAAAAAAAAAAAAAAAAAAAGATGCATAGTACAAAAATTATGACTTTTATTACAACACTTCATATTAATTAAATATAAGTCAATGGAGCAAGCAAACCATTTTATAATTTACACAGATAATTAGGCAATTCAACCCTCACCGAGATAAACCCTTTTTGGTGGATATCACCAACTGATGCTTTCTTTAAAACTTGATTTTAAAAACTTTTGACAAAGCCCCCTACTCCGTGAAATAACATAATTTGTATACAGGGACTTCAATATTTCTTCTTTTTTTGAAATTATTATTATTAATGGGATAACAATTAATGATTAAAAATGTCGGTTCATAATACAGGCTCTTATATCGGTTTTATTTGCATGACTTAAAAAACCCCATATGGTTCAAAATAAGAATATCATTCATTTATATATTTGGGGGTGATAGATTTCATGTGGGACACATACCATTAAGTGGATGTTCTAAGGGTCAGGAGTCTACCATTGGTTGTATTTTCTGCTAATCCCTATATATACACAGTAGCTAAACTTTATACATATATATCTGTGCAAGCTTATTACAAAGGTGCATATGTTTCTTGCTCTATTATGTTTTCCGTACAGTTATCAGTGATAACTGTACAAAGTTTGTTTAACAAACCCAGTTCCTATATCATGGGCAATCTTACATAATACAGGTATAAAATAACTAAAAATGATTTTTTTTCTTTTATTCTTTGTCAAATATGAGGGAGTAAATATTTATTCAATGACAAGGAAATTCTATTTATAATTAACATTCTTTACCAATGCTAATTCACAACATTAAAAAAAAACATCTTTATTTTGAAGTTTTCTCCTTCAAGGCACACCCAAATTTAGCAGTCTTTGATTTTTACAAATTTTACTCTGATACACAAAAGAAGAAAAAAATTGATTATTTTTTAAAATGTGCGTAATTTAGATAAAAGCATTAAATAACTCTAAATGGATTGATCTTAAGGTAGGATTCTTCTCATATTTCTAATATTTAAAAATTAATGAAATTTTCACAGAATCAAGAAGACAATATCAGTAAGTGATAGTATCAGTGAAATTAAATTTGACCGTTTTATATTAGAGGCAAGGTCAGGTCAAGGTCATTATCTTTTTCCTTGACATTAAGAATAAAAAAATACTGTTGCCAATCATGTAATACATACTTCTATTTCAAAAGTTTAATGATTGTTCTTTTTGCATAAAAACGTATTACTATATCGGGTCTATAGCATGATATTACCAAATTTACATAAATAATTTTACTTAACTGGATATTGTCTAATCCGAATTTTCTCTGTTTTTCTTAATTTTTTAGAATATATTAGTTATTTTCATATGCTTGCTATATTTAACTTTTTCTTATTTTCACATATAATAAAGTAGACTTAAAAATGTACAAAATGATACAAAAACAAAAAGTTTTGATCGTTTAATAAGAGAGAAAAAATACTTTTTGTGGATTTTTGGCTCAAATCTGCACTGTGATAGGAAGCGTTTAAAAGCTAACAAAGTTCTAGTTTGTTTGAAAATCATATTTGTTTGATATATTATGAAAGTTCAGTCCCTCAGTATAAATTTAACTTACATTTGAAAATTTCTCCAAGTCTTCGATTGTGTAAAAATTATAGCTAAATTCATTGTTTTATTATAATTTTGAGAGGCAGAAAAGAAGATATTTTCATACGCCACCATTCCGCCAAAAATATAGTCCCTGCTAGTTTTCAAGCGCAGTTTACCATTTCTATTTAAAGTTGTACATTTCTGATGAGGAAGGAAAAATATGGTCTTTTAAATTCCTTACCCCTCAATATATAAGACATATAAGCAAATATACTTTGAATGTTTCATCTAGTCAGAAACCAGAGAAGAATCCTACCTTAATTAACTAATAAGGCATACAATATTATTCACAATTATGGTTGTTTCTAACTTGCATCACCTCCATGTAACCTACATGAAATTTTTAAAATACTGAATTCATCAAGTTCCTCTTCCTAGGAAAACACAAAAACAAAACAATTTTTACTTTAAAGCCTTAATACTTATCATATTAATTTGGAAATTAGAGGGAAAAGTAATTTTGCATTTAGAGGGCAAAATCGGTTTGCAAGTCGGAGCATTTTTTTTTTTTTGCAGAGAGGATCTCTAGCTAAAATGAAGAAATTGTTATTCTGATCCTCTTTGTTATGTTCTGAACTGACTTAATACTTCCCATTAGCTTATTGATTTAGATGATATTTTACTGAGTTTATGATAAAGACATGGACATAACATCCTACACTTTTGTAAAAATAATATTTCTCTATATACAGTAGCTCATTGAATACTTGATGCTATTGCCTATTGGTAAATAAAAATAGGTTAAGCCAAGATAAGCATCTTATAGCAGGCAGTTTAATACACATGTACGCCTTGGTAAAAGAAATGGTTGCTTTTCATACTTGTAATAAAAATATAAACCATTACAAAACTGTTACATTATAAACATATGCAATATGTACTACAATTTCTTACATGAAAAATAAAACTACGTAGTTATTTATTCTTGCAGACATTTAATATTACATGTACAAAAATATAAGTCAACAGTAATTGCAAACTGGCTAATAAAACTTGCATGAAAGGATTTTTTTAGTCATTGATCTCTAATTTAAGGGGTTTGACTGATGTTTCCTCTGTGCAATACTTTGCCCATCAGGGTAAAATGATAGACAAAG